GTGAACTTACAAATTACAAGATGTAAAGTGCATAGATCTTTGAGTGATCCTAGGTTTCAACAGATGATTTTCACTTAAGCTCTGGATCCAAAGCTCCCTTATATACTCATTTTTTTCCACCACTACTGCCTCTTAAACAAGGAAACAAACAGACCTCTTCTTTGACTCCATGTCCCCAACTTACAGCTCTATTTTTAAAATTTCCGTTTTTGCTTAAAAAAAAAAAATCATAGAGAGTTGTTTTTGCCTGTATGGTCTAACACAGCAGTCACTAGTCACATGTGTTTATTTAAATTTAATTAAATTAGCCACATGTGACTAGTACTACCACATCGTACTGGGCAGTGAAGACACAGACACTGGCATCATTGTCAAAAGTTCTACTGAGGGCTGGCAGGTGGCCTCGTGGTTAAAGGCACTGGATTCCCACATGGCCGAGTGCAGTTCGAGTCTTGGACCTGGTGGCTTGCTTTCTCACTTTCTTTTCTCTTCTCTTCTCTTCTCTTCTCTTCTCTTCTCTTCTCTTCTCTTCTCTCCCCTCCCCCTCTCTCTCTTTCTCTCTCTCTCTCTTAATCTGTCCCTCTCTGATCAAACTGAAATAAACAGATGAATAAATAAATAAAGTTAAATAAAATAATTCTTAAAAAAAAGTTCTACTGGACAGTGCTTGCCTATTCTACAGCAGAAAAGAGTGAAATCTACACAGCCAGACTGGATTCCATGCCAGCCTCTACAATCTGACTCTAACTGAATCAATTTGGGGAAGTTATTACCTCTTCTTGTACTTTGGTTTTCTTACCTGTACATTTAGAATAATAGTAACTAATTCTTGCTTCATAACATTGATGCAAGGTTTAAATAATTTACTTGTACAGTGGTTAAAATAGTGTACAGTGTATACTAAATGCTCAACACATGTTGGGTGTTCTTATTCTTATTTTGACCGACTTTACCTCACCTCTCCATTTTCTTTAACTCATTCCCATCAGACTTTGTCTACCATTGCAAGATTTGTTGAAATTTACCAAATCCTTCTTGCCAAATCCAGTGGTAAATTCTGTCTTCCTCTTACTGGACCCATCAGAAGCCCTTGATACAGTAGGTCATGTTTTAAAATATTTTCTTAATATGTTTTCTAAGACAACATATTGTTATTTTCTCTCAAATGGTTGATCTTTCTTAAGTTTGTTTTCATGGATTCTCTTCCTTTCCTCACCTTGAAATCTACAGTGGTACAATTATATTTATTTTTATAATGATAAATGCCATCTTAATAGACAGTATGATACATAACTCATTAAGTGATAATTCTTTCACTTAACTACAAGCTGTTCTCTGTATAGAGGTCAAGAAAATCAGAGAATATTAAAAGTATCTTTGAAAATGCAAACATGCTACATGCAAATATATGTGGTATTTCTTGGTTTTCAGTAAGTTACTCAATACATCTTATATGTTTATGTCTAAACAAGGAACTACTGTAAGATATAACATTATAAAACTAACACAGTACTTTAGATAATTTAATATCCAAATGGTTTGATCATATGATAGAATAGTTAAATTTGAAGATTTCAGTTTTATATACTGTTGGAGCTTGTGACTACATTTTTTAGAAGAAAACAAAATATAAAAACTTGAAACATGCACACAAACACGCACACACAAATACAGAAATTAGAAATATATTGAAAGTTTAGAGTCCAGTAATATATGAAAAGCAAATCACTATTATTATAGATAAAATCTCAATGAATGGTCAACAGATCTTAATTTTATAACAAAAATATTAGCAAAGAAGGACATATGAGATATTTATGCCCAAACTGTAAAGACATAAAATTGATCACTGAGAAATATTGAACATTTGCTTATTGAAGTCTACTACACTTTCAGCCTCTGTGACACTGTCTTCTCATAGTTTCTGTCCTTTCTTCACGATCATTCTTTCTCAATTTTCTTGCTAGGTTCTTCTTTGTCCAGTTCTAAAATGTTAATCTTCCAGAGAATTGCCTTGGCCTACTATTCTTTTAGCTGTAGTGTTCTTCTTGGGCAATTTCAAGTTTGTCTATAGTTTCAAGTACCACCTAAACTTTATAACTCAGATTTTTGTCCTTGCTTATTTTTATTTACTTATTTTTGCTGTTATTGTTGTCCCTTGCTTTTTTGGATACTTGCTTTAAAAGTATTTACCAAATATGTTCTAGACGTTTCTACAGACATCACAAATTCAAAATGTCCTAAATCCAAGAATCAAGACTTTCTTTCTTTCCCCAACCTACTTCCTCTTTTGTTCTTCCATATTCAGCAATGGTACTACCATCCGTAGAGCAGTGCAAGTCAGAAATATGGGAATCACCTTGGAATCCTGTTTCATACATCTCATTATATGTAGGAAAGTCAGTCACTAAGTTGAGTGACGGATTACACATTTTGCTCTTTAAAAATTTCTCGACTCTACTGCCCCCTCTTTACCTTATAAAAAGACCTTATAAAGGCAGAGAAGGGGTAATAGATTCAATATTTTATCTCATGTCTGAATTGTATGCCTTTGCTAATTCATCATAAAACGTTCTTTGACAGATGCAGACTTAACTTTACCTCTTTATTGTATCCCCATCAGAATATAAACTCTGAAAGATGTCTTATTTATTTATTTTTTTTTTAGGATAACCCCTTGCATATGGTCATGCTCAAAAATATTTGTTACATAAATAAAAGGCAGCCTAATGGCCTATAAAGTATAATTTATATAAAAATGGTCCTATAAATCCTCCAGCAAAAACTTTGCAGCATTTCTTGTAATCTATAAATGTGATTTATAGGAATCTCTATAACTTGGTCTTTAGGTATTTATCAGCTTTCTCTGTAGCCACTTAGTCCAATATTTTATGTTAAAATTACATGTGATTGCTTATCATTATTGTACATATCATACCTCTGCCTTGTTTATTACGGAAAACTTATCTGATTGTCCTTTACCTAGTTAGCAGTCACTTTCCTCAACGATGTTACCTCATATCAGGTGTCATATCTAGGAATTTATTCCTGGAATTCCAGGTTGGATCAAGTGGTCATCTTCTGAGCAGCCAGTATACCTTTCACATAATTCTAGTTTTACCACTAACTGATGACTTTGAAGCAATCAGTTTAAGTAAATAGCTTCTGCTAGACTATAAGCAAGTTGGATTATAAATAGTTTATTAGTTTTATCCATGTGTCTGTCATACAGTAAATGCTCTATATTTATCAAAAGATGTAAACAAATGGAATTATTTGGTTAATTCTACATATCTTTTAACTTAACTGCTATTATTAATGTCCATTTTGGGTTCCTATTTTTTTTTTAATTAATAGACTTTATTTTTAGAGCAGTTTTAGATGTACAAATATTTGTATGGGTTTTTTTTCCTTTTAATTTATGAGAGGGTGCATGTGCTCACCAGAGAGAGACAGAGAGAAAGAGGGAAAATAAAGTATTCCTCATGGGGAGTGGTCATATCATGATCTTTTCTTCCCCATTTCTCCCTATTTTTGCAATTTGGGGCATACACGCATATGTGCCCAGTGTGTTTCTCAAGCTGCAGGGTCCATAACTCAAACTGTTCAGTCAGTGATATGGGATCCAGCTGCCTTAACCACCACGTGGGCCACAGACTGGCCCATTTATTAAGTCTTAAAGAGAAAGTGCAATAATGTTTTAACTACTAAACAAGCATCAGAAAAACTAAATTTCAAAAGGCCAGTGTTTCCCATATTAGCAAAACATAACAGTTACATATAAATGTTGGCGATGTTAAAAATTATGTAAGTATGATATTTATGTGCATTATCCATAAATTAAACTTGTATTTTACATTAAAATGCAAAATAACATTTTAAAACACCAAATGGCAAATTCCTATAACAAAACTGACATTGACCATAGTGAGTTACAACCAGAATATGAGGAACATCATCAGATAGCTATTTTTAATGTAATATATAAGAGCTTATAATGTAAGGCTGAATTTCCAGAATCTCTGTTGTCGTTTATAAAATTAAGAGTAGCCGGGTCCATAAATTAGTGTAATCTTATATTCTTTTGTTTGTAGATTCACATATTGACTTCTGAGTACAAGAACCCTAGTATTCAGGCATAAATTAGATGGAATCCAGTTGCCTATAATTTATTTTGCTGTAAAAGAAACACCATATTACATGCTTTTGTTTGTTAAGTAGAAGATATGCTATTATTTCCAAGATACCAAGAATTTAATGTTTAATTATCAACTCTCATTTGAAAAAAGACATTGCTTTGACTCACAAATTTCTTAATTGCTAACAGTGGCTTTTCTGAGTGGGAGTGTTGTATCTAATTTATTTCTGCAGATGTGATTTAGAAACTGAATTTTAAAGCAGCAGAGCTTTGAATATCTTCACTGTCAGCAGAAAATTCCTCCATCCCTGCTGCTGGAGAATATTGCTGCTTGAGGTTTTCACAGGGAAATAAAAGCTGCAGTGAGAGAATTGATACTACTGGTAAATGTTGCTTACAAACTGCAAAGGAAGTTAGGCTGTCAGCAATAAAAGAACTCCATTATTCACACATAATATGTGGTGTCATCTTCATGACACCTCGCTGGGAATGAAAACTGAATTGGCTGATTTGAGCTTGAGGGACCTAAAGGAAGGAAATACCCTACAGATCAGAGTACCTTTACAAATGCTCAGCAACTGGCGTCCAGGGGTACCCCTGCTTAAGTCCTCCCTAAGGAGGAAAGACCATGATGCACATTTCAAGAACAGTGGCCAAAGTTCATTTCCAAGCCGGGCTCAGGGATCACTGAAAAAAAGGTCATTGTTATGTTTCCAGAAAAGATAAGTAATTTAAAATGTCCCTTTCCTGCTGGAACTGTCCTCACCCACACAATACTGTAATAAAGTGAGTAAGAGAAAAGACTATGTATGGTAATGACAACTCCAATATGAAGTCAAAAGTAACAAAAGAAAATTCCTACCCGTTTGGCTGAGCTGGGAAGCGCTGCGACTCTTCCGTGAGAGACCCACAATAGCTACCATTTTGGCCCCAATGCTAGAGCGCCGCTTCTTGCCACCGGTGCCCAAGGCGCCCACTGCCGTGTCAGACTGGCTGCCGTCGTTCTTCTCCAGCGAGCACATGTCTCCACTGATGCTGGTGCTCTTGGTCATGTTCTTCCCTGACACGCCCATTTGTCTGCTTTGCATTTTGGAGGTAAAGACACTGTCAGCCGATGGATCATTAAAAGTGAGGACAAGAGTAAAAAGGAAAAGACAGAAGAGGCATTTTAGATGAAACATCTGGAGTATAATGAAATTAAAGCATGCACGGAACATACTTTTAGGATTTAAAAATTTCCAAATACCACAGACTTGAATGTGCTTTACTATTCGGGGCCAACCTTAATGCAACTACATAAAACCAGACTTATGATTTCATTTCTGCTGTCAGTGATGGCACTAGTTTGCATGGTGACATGAAAGAAAAGAATGCATGAAAAATCAGTGGACTCACTTAAGAGATTATGCTGTCTTGAAAGTACAAATACGCTTTTGGGTAGCCACACAACGTAAAGAAGATTCCAAAAACATTCTTCTCCAATTTACTCGCGTTGCTATTGCCTTCACAGATAAGTGAGGGCAGTTCACAAAAAAAGGGCAAAAATTATAGTAAATATTGTTAAGAGGGGCCCCATAAACCAAGTGTTCTCATTTTATGAAAAACCTAATAAGGTTTACCCAGTAATGACTACTTTTACTGATATAAACATATATTCCAAAAATAAAGATTTATTCATTCAAAGCATATGTTTGGAGGTAAGAAAAATCATTTTTCTAGATATGGTCAGAAAACAATCAATGAATCACTGAAGCATGTAGCTGATTGACACTCTCCTGCAGGACTAATAACGCGAAGGGGGCTAACTGAAGGAAGAAGCCTGGATTCTTAGGGATTAGCGGGGTGTGGTAGAAGGTGGAGTAGGGGTGAAAAATCTAAAAGCAGTCTATTTGACTAACTCCCTTGAGCCTGAGAGGTGGTGAAGGAAGCAGCTGCTTTTGTAAGGATAGGAAGACTTATTTCCTACATCGCCGAATTTTGCCTCAGTATTAGAAAGTTATAGTTTCAGCTTTAATTTGGTCCTGAGAGTATGACTGTTTAACACATAAATTATGTAATAATAAGAAATAGAAGTCAAGAAATAGAGAGACCTTCATATATCATCTAAGGGATGAAAATCCAAAAGCTAACATATTTAAGTGAATTCTCATCTCTAATCTAATATCTTGGTCTTTCAGGAAAAAAACAAAAAACAAAAAACAGTATGTTTTCTTTCCTAAAGTAAAATCTGCTTAGATGCTAGAACCACATGGTGATTTTATTAACTTATATACACTTCCTCCATGTAACTAAGCATAGAAAGGCTCAGTGTGAAATTGAAAATAAAATAAAAACAAACCCCACCAAACTAGTCAAGTATACTATTTGATCTCCTGCATTAGAGAGAGAGAGAGAGAGAGAGAGATATTTTTGCTATAGGGTGCGTGCGCTTGCCAGAAAGACAGAGAGAGACAGAGAGACAGAAAGCGAGAAATCACCCCCCAGGGGTATGACCACACCACAATTCCTTCTCCTCCATTTTCCTCTCGGGATCTTGGGCACGCAGGCATACTCACCCGGCGTGAGTTTAAGTAACCGGGTCCGGGACTAAAACCGTTGTCGGCTACATGGGAGTTCAGCGACATAGCCATTATGCTATCTGCTGGTCCCTTGCATTAGTTTTAAGAAGAAATGAGGCATACACAGAGAGAGAGAAAGAGAGAGAGAGAGAATGGGAGAGAGAGAGAGAGAAAAGTGTGTGTATGTATGTGGGGGAGGAAGAGAGAAAGAAGTGTGTGTATACACACACACACACACACACACACACACACACACTTACATATTATACCAAACTAGTCATTTTCAAATTTGTTTGAGTTTGCTCTTCTTTAACAATCAACAGAATAAAATAGTTTTGGAGGCAAATGGGCTTGGATCCCAGTTTTGCTGCTACTTAATTGACTTACTTTAGCATAGTCATTTGCTCTACTCTGAGCCTTGTGTTCCTCATTTATAAAATCAGAATACATTTTTTAAAATTTTAGAGATTAGAAATAATGTGTCTAAAGAAAAACTTTAATAAGTGGAAATTATAATAATTATCATTAGGGAAAATGGAGAATAAATAAATTTAAAGTCAATGTATATCATGTAGATCCTTAGTATCGATAGAAATAATAATCATAATTATAAATTTAACAACTTTTGAGATAAAATATCTAAAATGCTCTACTAGAGCCACTATTCCACATTGAATAGTAGACTGTAGAGTTGAGACATCTGGGTTTGATCTTTGACTTTACTGACTAAACATCTGGTCTTGGGAATGTTGTTTTACCTTTCTGGAATTCAGTTTCCTCATTTAATAAATGAGAAAACATAAAGTACTAAGCAGAATGCCAGACACATGATAAAAGCTCCCAAAATTCTCTTCTTCCTTCCCATTGTTATCACCATCACCATCATAATCGATTAAGCATCCATTAAACATATTGAACTGGAATATATGTAAGGTCCCCTTTAACTACAAACAGCTCTGTCCCCCAGATATCTCTTGTTCCACGGACTCTGGGCAGATAAGGCCAGACATGTAACATATGGTTTTCATAGTATGCTGCCATTAGAAAAGGCATGACATACTGTAGCTTAGAAATGCCATAATTCAGTTGAGACTAAATCTTTGAAAATAATATTTATGTTCCAGGGTCAGAGCAACCTAGTGGTCCTGTTATATAAAAAATTTCACCCCAAATACATACTTTTCTAAAGAGCTACCAAGGAAGTCAAAAGTATAATCCAAATATATTGCTTATTGTACCTTGTGATAGTTGCATTCAGTTTACACGGTTGGATAAAAGACCATAAAGAACATAAAAAGTGTTGCCAATAAGAAGAAAAATAAAATAAATAGACAAATAAAAAGAGCAATCAGAGACCAACATCCCTTTTTCTTTTACATAAATCAAGTTACTCAACCCAAGTAGTTCATCCCAAGGGTGCAGAATGGATTTCTAGCTGATCCTAACAGATGACCACTTAGTAATATCAGGTGTTGATATAAATGCTCAGTTCCAGAAAGAAACAGTGTTTCTACATTTATAGAAATTGCTTCGCGGATGGGGCCGGCAGGTGGCATGGTGGTTAAGGGTGCTAGAGTCCCACATGGCCGACTGTGGTTCAAGTCTCAGACCTGGCGGCTTGCTTTCTCACTTTCCCTCTCTCTTTCTCACTCTGTCCCTCTCTGGTCAAATGAAAATAAATAAAATAAATAAAGTTAAATAAAATAATTCTTAAAAAAGAAAAAGAAATCGCTTCATGCATGGTTTTTAATTTTTTGGCTTTAAAAACAATAAAAACTTTACTTAGTAAGATTTATTTAGTATTATCAAAATAAAATATGTTAAATTGCTGATGTGATTAAATTATTGTTGTTGAAAATTCCTGAAAGATTTTTTAAAAGGCAAATCTAGTATTGTCGATCATTAGGAGAAAGACAATAAATAATTAAAAGGCAAGAGAAATATTGTAAATATTTCCCAAAGAAATATATAGCATACTAGGGTTTATTTTAATGTGTGATCAAAATAAATGAAGTTTACAGGGTAGAGAAGAACCAAAAATATTAATTGATAGATTTGAATGAACAGAGCTAAATAGTTTGGCTCTTAAGATAATAAATTGCTAACATGGGACAAAAACAAATTTTGAGTTTGGGAGACTATGGGCATAAGAGTAGCATGCCAAAAGAAATATTTTATTGCAGGAGCTGGGAAGGCAGTTAGGAAAGAAAGTACCTAGCAATTAGAGAACAGCGATTAAATTTGAATTTGGTGGGTAGAGAAACAAGGGGCCCAGCAGCTATACAATGGAGTATGAGAACACCTTGGGGTAAGAAGTAGTACTAGAAAAGAAGTGTAGGCGTTGGCGTAATGGCTATGTCGCTGGACTCCCATGTAGCTGAACGCAGTTCAAATTCCGGACCTGGTGGCTTAAACTCATGCCGGAAGATCCGGAGAGGAGAATGGAGGAGAAGGGATTGCGGCGTGGCCACTCCCCCTGGGGGGTGATTTCTCACTTTCTATCTCTCTGTCTCTGTCTTTCTGGCGAGCGCACGTGCCCTGTAGCAAAAACCTCTCCAAAAAATAAAGGACACATAAGTACTTAAAAGTTAGAAGAGAATAATAATGATGGTAGAGTAGAAACAACCCGTGGGACTGGTCAAGCTCCCTAATGTATATACCTTGAGAGGCGAATTTCCTTTCCTTCCCACTGCTGAATTCCTGGAAGCAGCTGTCAGGAGATAATCAAATACCTATTACTACAGAAGCTCATACTTGACTGCACCAGCTGGCAATCACTGGGCAGATGTCAGGATTTAAAGGGCCACTTCTTAAATTCTGGTGTCTTCCTCACAGGGGAAAAAAAATTCTGTTGCTGTCCAAAGTTCTCCTTATTAAATAATTCTCTATATTAAATGTTATTCCTGAGTTTAAATGTCAAATTTGAAATTAGTATCCTAATTCATTATTTAATAAGATTTATTTCACTCTATCTCAAAAGATCACCTATAATTTTAAGCTAATAAAACAGTAATAATTTATTCAACAAAGATTTATTGATTATCTATTAAAATAAATATGGGGATAAAAAAATGACATAATATAGTCTCTGATTAATTTACTGGCAAATAACAACATGTAAAATGCAAGTAAGTTTGCATTAGAACTTAGTCCTATATATATAGAGAGAGATAAATAGATAGATAATTGATAGATAACACAGATAAAATTCACATTACATTAAGTTCATCATTTTAACTACTGCAAATTGTGTAATCACATATTTTTAGTACATTCAAAATGTTGTATGATATCATCACCATGTAACTCCAAAACATTTGTATCACCCCAAAACAGGTTAACCAAAACCTCCCTATCTCCCTCTGCCTTAGCCTTCCCTACTTCTAGTAACCATTATTCTACTCTCTCCTTCTAGGAGGTCAGTTGGTTTTGGTTTATAATTGAAATTCTAAGGACCAGCTGTAAAGTCAAGAAATCCTGATTAAGTTAAACGTTCAAGAAAATGCTTCTTTCTCCAAAGAATATGTAAAAACTGAATTTTGCATA